CCCCCCCCCCCTAGTCGCTAGGTTTGCACCAAATAGTTAGTTGTGATGTGTGAGGCGATTTTTTTTCTTCGCCTGATGATCCCGCGCCCTGATACTTGTAACTTGAGGCAGCAGAGGTGTTGCGTAGAGCAGTTTCTGGAAGCGGTCGCCCACCGTGCGACGTCAAAACAATTTTTTTTGTTAGTTCGTTTTTGACTCTGTGTCATGATCTTCAGTCTTGTTGTGGGGGGGGGGCATGATGATGGTGTTCCCGGTCATGCTTCAAGTTTGCGGGCGGAAATGTTTGCAAGCATTGACAGAGGTGTTGCACTGAAGCTACCGCCCTTCCGTCAACTCGACGAGGCGCGCCGAGAGACTTCTTGCCGTCAGTTTGGTCACGCGAGGTCATCGCCAGGACGGAACGGCCTGGGAATTCATGAGCTAAGAGAAAATCTCAGTTTCTGCGTCAGGATTTCTGTGTCACCACACCACAACAAAAAATGCAGTTCTTGTTATATTTTTTCAGCCGCAGGACAAACCTCGATTTGCCATTGAGGACGTGATTATGTTCGTGAGGAGGGGCCGTCATGCGGGGGTCTTCAAGTCCTTGTCTTTCGCGGATCGGCTCCCAAACCCTTGACGTATTTCGTCGATCGACTCAAAATTATCAGACGACGAGCGTGACGAAGGCAGGCAGCTATTAAGATGGCGAGCCTTCATAATACTGACAGGGGAAGCAGACAACGTATGCATTAAACGAATAAATTGTTGCGCAAATACGTGAAAACGGAATAGATGCGTTTGGTCAAGACCTGCGTTGTTTCTTGATGCAGCGAAAGGTCGCCCGTCTCTTCGGTGTAAAGAATTGCCTCGCTTCGCCCCCCAGTGGTTCTTCGATCGGAAAATCATCATGTCAGACAGCACTTCCCCTCCTCCTTTTCGCGCTTTTCCTGCACGACGCCATACAGCACCTACTTCGAATCAACGACATTCAACGCGACACCAACTGCTGTCGTGTGTCACCTTACCCAGCACGCCACCACACCATCAACGAGCTCGTAAAAACAGGCAAAATCAGTACTGGAAGCTACCAAAAACCCAAACATAATCAACAAATAAGTGGGGATGGACATGGGACTTTTTTTCCCTTCGTTTTTGACGCGAGACCAGCACACGCCCCCCTTTCCTCGCAAACTGGATCAACCTCCTTCACGACCCAAAAAATACCTGCGGCAGACTCTCGCCCCGTATTACACCTGTGACACAAAACACCACGTCCAACCGCGGCAACGAAACGCCGCTAGCACAAGAGCATTGCCGAAAGCAGATCGTGCCATCTTACGACAAAGCAGCACAGTGCCTTACACGCCTCCCGTATCTCACGGGACCCTCCGCCGCCCTCTCCACGGTTGCATCTTGCACCACGCCCAAGAAACACAACTGCAGTGACTTCTACATCGTCTGGTGTAATACAGACCCGTCGACCGCGCCCGCAAACGGACGCAGCTGGCTCCATTTCTTCTCATGTTGAGAGGGAAACAGAGCCCTGACGAGGTCTGGGGAACACCGGCGAGAGCTCACTTCAAGATCGACACTACAGAACACGGCGACTTGCCCTCCGCCTCACACACGCACAAAAAAAAACAAAATTGCTGTGGACTTGGCTGCAGGCGATTTCATCTGCGCGCCCCAAGGGCCAGTTGCCACATGTCAGAGCTTTGTTGAGGCAGAAACGGACCGAACCTCCCTTTCGGTGCCCGGCCGGTCCACAAGCACCGACCGACAACAGAACAAAAGTCATTGTACAGTAGTGCTGGGCAACAAAGAAAAGACGGGGACCGCCGTGATCGAACCTCCCCAAGAGCTGAACAAACCAAAAACAGGTAAAAACAAGAAGTGGGTGCCTGGCGCAAGAACAACCGCTGCTATCTGCGGGGCCCCTCGGTGTCGTGTGGAAAAACGCATACTCATCTGTACTCTACCTAGCCGCACCATCGAACTGGACACCCCGCAAGTCTCGACACCGGTTTCAAGGCGGCACGATCAAAAACTTAACAAGACGCGCATGCTTCAGGGCGCACGCCAAGGGCGCAACCAGAAACGCAGCAGGTAGCCCTCAACAACAGACACAAGGCGACGAGCAAGCATTTTTTTTTTGCCGGGACGATGAGGATAGTCGCCGGCCGCACACCACCACATATGGCGTGAAAAGTGCACAGGCGGGAAGTGAATAGAGCTGCTCAACAATCAAACCCTCACATCAATCTAGTCATACCCTCTTACTGCATCTGCTCGTACGGCCCCTAGACACTTCGCGCAAACACGCCACTCACACAAAAAATATAAAAAATAACGCCGTCACCGGCATTCGTCGCTACTTCACATGACACAACAAAGACAACGCGGAAGACATGAACAATTTTCTTCTTTTCCCCCCAGCCCAACTGCTGAAGAGATACCAGCTGCGAAGCAAAGGTTCGCGGGCTAGAGCTAATATGTTGCACGAGGGGAATCTCAAATCAGACACGCACCGCGTTCAAAATTTCACCCTTACGACGAACACAAAAGAACGGCGGCAGGGAGCAAATAAATACACCACGACATACCAACGACCTCAGGTAAACTCTAGAGATTCGACTCGGCGCTCCTCGCCACCGATTCCCCCAGTACCCGTCCTCCGTTCCTGCCCCTCCCACGAATACCGACCACCCAACGCGTCGGCGACATCCGCCGCGCCGCTTCGTTCATGCGATGCCGCACCCCGCTGCCTCTCGACGTCCCCGTCGACGTGACGGTCCTGCGACCACCGTCGCCGCCGTCGGTACTCCCGCTGCTTTCTCGTTCCGCCGCCGCCGGCCGCGGCCGCGGGGCCGCGGCCGTCGTCGACAAGCCGCCCCCATCGCCGTCCTCCTCGGTCTGGTAGCAGACGCACGACATCACCCCGGCGATCGCCCACGCCGCCCAGTCCATCGCCGCCGCGGCGAGGGCGAGGACTAGATACTCCCGCCCTGACGCCGCCGCGACCGCCGCCCCCGCCACCACGAGCGCGGCCGCGGCGAGGCAGCGAACGGCCGGCGAGGATCCGGCCCGCAGGTACACACCGCAAGTCGCCGCCAGCACGGCGAACACGAGCAAGGGCGACACGACGCCCCATGACTCGTCCAGGCCGGCCGCCGGAGCGCACCGAGCCCAGCCGGGGTGCTTGTGGAGCCCGGCGAACAGCAGGCCGGACCTCTCCGGCAGCAGCAGCACCGCCGACAGCAACAGCAGCGTCAGGACCCCCATCGCCGTCCGCAGCCGCATCGCCAGGCGCTCGCCGGACCGGAGGCCCCAGAACGACCGGGGCGAGCGGCGGCGGAGCTCGGCGGCGCCGGCGGAGGCCTTGGCCTTCTTGCCCGTGCGGCGGTTTCGCCACCGCTGCGTGCTCGCGGCGGAGGAGGACGCGCTGACGGCGCCGTGCAGGTGGCAGAACGCCACCAGCAGAAACAGCAGGTGCCAGCGCACGAGCGCCGACATGACCCACCACGCCCCACTGTCGCACGAGACCGCCGCCGCCGCCTCCGACTCCGCCTCACCGTCGCCGCCGCCGCTGTCGACCCCTTCTCCTAGACTCCTGGACCAGATGTTGTCCGCCGGGGCCGCGTTGGAGTCCATGCCTAGGCCCTGGTCAATCGCCGAGTGGTGATCCCGCGTCAGCGCGGTCATCGCCTGCGCGAAGTGCGCCGGGACGAGGCACCACAGGCCGGCCAACAGCGTGGCGTCGCAGGCGACGACCAGCCCGGAGAGCACCTTGGACAGCAACCCGCCACAGGTGGGAGCGGCGGAGCCGGCGGAGGAAGACGCCTCTCTTCTCAACGGGTGCCTCGCCGGCCTCCCCCCTGCCCCTGAAACCCCAGCGCTGCCTAGTCTCTCCATGTCCATCACGTCAACATCCCAGCCCATGCACTCCGGCCGCTGGCCTCCCGCCGCTGCCACAGGAGAAACGGAGGGACCACGCGTAACCTCGCCACCGGTCTCCGCGTCCCCAGCGTAGCCCGGGTCGCCCAGATACCCGGTGTCGACGAAGCCGCCAAAGCTGCTACCGTGAGAACGCGAGTGAGCCCGTCCCCTCGACCGCTGCCGCGCGCCGAGATCCCGGTGGTGCTTGTGGCCGCCACCACCACCACTGCCGCTGCTGCTGCCGCGGCCGGTCGCCCCCACGCACGGCGACGTCGCCAGCATCGAGAACAGGGCCCTGGCGACGAGCAGAGCCGTCGCCGCTAGGAGATACCCGTAGAAGGTGAGCAGGGGGGCCCGCGAGAGGAAGTTCGGGTGGAGGAGCGCCGAAAACGCCGATTTCGCCTTCGTCGAGGTCCCCCCTGACCCGGCCAAGGATCCGCCGCCGCCCTTCAGGCCAGGCGCGAGCGGGGCCGCCCTCACGCGCCAGTGCTCCATCGCCCCGCACTGCGCTCTCGGGCGGCCCTGCGCGCTAAGGTAGAACCCGGACGCGGGGTTATAGATGCAGTACTCGACGCTCTCCGCGGCGGTGCCCCCCCCGACGACCAGTCTCCCCCCACCGCCGCTGCCGTCGCCCTTGTCCTTCGACGACAGCTTGGTTGGCGCTACCTCTTGAAACACGAACTGGAACTCCGGGAGGCACGCCTGGGCGACGTGAACCCGGCCCAGGGTCAGGAAGCCCCCGCCCGCGACCTCGAGGCATACCTTGTCCTGCCGGAAGGCTTCGAAGTAGGCCCCCGTCGCGACCGGCCGCAGCGCCTGCTCCGCCCCGCACACCCTGGACAGGCGCTTGCCGCCCGCCTCGACGAACCCGGCCTGGCTCTCGAGACAAGACTGGCCGTACTTCTCGAAGTGCCTGGCTGGGCTCGCCGGTCGGAGGTTCGCCGAGGACACCTTCCAGAGAACCAGGAGCGCGATGCCCGCCGCCACCCGGCGCCGGTGCCACGTGAGCTTTTTTATCCACGAGACGGCGCTCCACCGCTGTGCTCCCTCCCCTCCCCCTCCCCCTCCTCCTCCGACGACGACACCGCTAGCGCGGCCCTCCGACGCTCTCTCTTGTGCCACCAACAACGAAGACGGTGCCGCCACTGCCGCCGCCACCGCCGCCACCACCGCCGCCCCCGCCGCCCCCGCCGACGTGCTGCTCCCGCCCTTGCCCGACGCCGCCCCGATCAACGCGTCCGCCACGAAAGAGGCCGAGGAGCACGTGCGGCCGATCTTCGAGCCTGCCTCGTCGATGTCGGACCGCAGGCGAGCTCCGCCGATCACCGAGGCGTAGACCAGCGCGATGAACACCATCTGCGCCGTCACGGCAGCCGACTGGATGCGGCGGGTCGCCACTCGGTGCGCTTCCGGTCCAGCACAGCACACTGCAAGCGAGATCGCCGTGTTAACGACGCAGCTCGCCGCCACGCAGCGGAAGTGGGCGCGGCCGGACAGGTGGTGCACGACGCCGGCGCGACTGCCGTGGCCGAAGCCAAGCGCGATGACCCCCGCACCGACGACGCCCGCCCAGATCACGCCCCCGCCGCCGCCGCCGCCGCCGCCGCTGCTGCTCCCCTCGCCGTCCATCGCCATGGAATGCAGGAATCGGGCCGCAAAAACAACGGCGGCCACGGCAACCGAGTCCTTCGGCAGCGTTCGGCCGCGGGTCACCAGGGCGAAGAACAGGTAGTCCATCACGTACAGCCCGACGACCAGGGCGCAGCACAGCCAGGCGTCGTGCACCGAGACCGAGATAACAGGGTGCCACCCGGCGTCCACCACCTCGCGCGCTAGCGCCCTCGCCCCCCGAAACCACAACAGACCAAACATTCCCACCAGCGTCGACAGGACGTAGCACACCCCTAACGGTAACTGCTGCTCTCCTCCTCCTCCTCCTCCTCCTCCTCCTCCTGCCGCGAGACAGGAGGGGGGGAACGAGGAGGATGGGTCCGCCCCGACCGCGATGCAGACGCCGCCGCCGCCCCCGCCGCCGCCCGACGAGTTTCTAATCCTGGACGCCGCTGCCGCCTCGAGACAGCCGGCGCCGGCGGTGGCGGCGCCGTCGTACGCAGCGGCCATCCGGCAAGCGGGAAGGATGGCTAACTGCTGCTGGTGCTGCTGGTGCTCCGGCAGCTGCTTCGTACTCCGCAGCCAGGGGATCCGGCTCTTCGAAGGGGAGCAACCGTCCTGCGGCAAGTCTGCGGCGCCGCCCCCGCCGCCGTAGGGTGTCCGGCGGTTGCGGCCGCTGCCGCCGCTGCCGCCGCTCGCCGTCTTGTAGTAGACGCGCGCGAACGCGAGGACGACGCAGGGGATGAAGAAGAGCACCCACGGCGCGAAGAAGTTGCCGTAAGGGCACTCGAGCTGCTCCCGGTACGCGTTCCACTTCCAGAACAGGGGCTTGTGGAGGTACGCCAGCCTCTTCCACGGCGTGTCCTCGTCGGCGAAGTGCACGATGTGCGGCTCCGGAGTCACCCTGTCGTCCTTCTGCGCCCCGCCCCCCCAGCTGTTCTTGCCGCCTTGGAAGTCGGTGGACGGCGCCGCGAACGTGTATGGCAGGCGCTGGCACACGCCCTCCGAGGTGCGCTTGCGCCCTGCACTGCACCGGGGGACGTGCGGCCCGTTCAGGAGCACCACCGGCATGAGTGCGTCCTCCAAGAAGCTGCCACCGCCATCTACTCCTGCGTCACCGAACCCACCGTCGCCTTGGAAAATAGCCCCTCCTGCTTCTTCGTCCTCCCACCCGCCGCCGCCACCCTGTCCTGCTACAAGCCCGCCGCCGCGGCTCCGTCCGCGGTCGGACGGCGCGTTCTCGACCGGGTCTTCGAACTGAGTGCACCGGTCGCCGGCGTCGGTGCCGGCCCCCATCAAGAACGAGGACAGGAACACCTGCGCCTCGAGGCTGCCGGCCGCCGGGGTCCGCGTGAGCTTGTCCAGCATCGCCGCGTGCACCTCCAGCGACGGCTCCAGGACCATGACGGAGGTGGAGGGCTGCCAAGATGGCGGAACCGAGAGTGGCTTCTCGAGAACCGCCGCCGCGGCCGCCGCCGCAACTCCGTCGTGCTCGTCATCGTCGTCGTCCTCCTCACCGCTGCCTCCCAACCCGTGCGCCAGAGACACCGGCGGCGGCTGCTGCTGCGCGGCGGCACCGACCGCAGCTCCGGCCTCCTGCGCCCAGCCAGGCTGAAACGAAGGGGACGAGGACGGCGAGTGCACGGCCCCCGCCGCGCAGAAGCCCTCGCAAGCGAACAGGGCGTCCGGGTTCTTCTGGATCAGCGATCGGGGGTCTAGGAACACGACGCGGTCGTAGGACGTCAGGCTCCAAAGGGAGACCTTGGTCATCAGCTCCTCGGATACGATCTCTCCTCCGGCTGCCGAGTTCACCGAAAAACGAGGGGGACGACGGGGGGGGGGAATGGGGTAAGACGCTGTTTCTGCGAGCGGTGTGGGTGTTTAGATTGGGGAGCGGCCTTGTGGAAGAGGAAGAACTGGCGGGGGATAGGGCCGCAAGCCAAGAAACTGCTGTGCCGTTCGAGTGGTAAAGCACTCATACTCGTGGGTCGGATTTGAACGGGAACAGCGAAACACGCTGGGAAGGTGCCCACGAACGCTCTACGTACACGCATTCAATACAGCAAAGACAGCGATAGAAGCAGCAGCAGCGGAAACCCTGCAGGGAAATACGTCACAAAAAAGCATCGACCAAAAAGGGTTGTCCACGGAAACAGTGGAAAAAACAGACGTCCAGCAGAGAGTTGGAGGCACCACAGTCAGTATGTACATCTCCACCAATATCGATGTGGTCTTCACATCCAAAACGTTTCCAATCTCTGCTCAGCACCGTGTGACATCATTGCTGGACAAACATCAACATACAGCTGGTGGAGGTTACAGAAGATACCACGCCCCCTCCCACCGAATTTCAAACCTCGAGTACTCCCCGACAAAAAGAGTGTACAAAAAAGTTCATGCGTTTTCGGAAAGCTTTTGACAAGCCAGTTCTAACGGCACCATTTTAGACACCACCTTTACTGTCAAGTTGGGAGCTTTAAAGATCGGTATACTGGTTGTGATATCCTCGGTCACCTACGGTGACCTCGCGCATTGTACGGGTCCAGCAGGGCCTCGTGCATATGCATACAGCAGTGCGCATACCACGAGCTTCGTATGGCAACAAATGGCTACCACACCTCGTAGGCATCTAACAACTGCTGTCTTTCGTCGGAAATTTGGCCGGAGATGCGCATTTGCGAAAAACCACCAAGACCAAAACATAAAACACAGCACATTTTATGCAAATATGCGATGGACGCTACATGCGCAGACTACGAGCTTCTTACAATAGCGAAATGAATCCTGCCTGAGCTCGTTGCATCTAACAACCAGCACCTTTTGGTCGGAAATTGCGAAGAACGACGAATGGTCCGGAACATCATCAATAAATTCCACCTCAAAAAAACAACGCACAATTTTCGCACGTACAGCAGTGGTACGCAATCGCGTCATTTCATGCGGCACGGTCGAAACAATTTGGCACTTCCCCACAGAAACTTACAGATTTCAAGTTCGAAGCCCATACTTTTGTCAATAGGCGCGAACATCACGAGGCCCAACGAGATGGGCCCGCGTCGTCACACAGCAGTACACGGACACGGACCCTAGTACTCGACTAGCTAGGTTTTTCAATCCTAAATATTGTTAATCTGCTGTACGCACGTCAAACCGAAAAATTATATGCACCCACAGGGACGCATATAAGCCATGCACCCACACCTCTTTTACCGACGGAAGTCTTGTCTGAGGAACGAGGGTCACGAACATGTGTGCGTTTTCTTGTCTCAACCTGTCGCTCTGCCACAGGCAGGCAGGCGCAGCTTTCTGTCCCTCCAAGCAGCAACTACATGAACCCGGTTAAATCCCTGACCCTAACCCTAACCCTAACCCCAAACCGACCCAATAGGTGCTAGGTTGACATTGGGTGGCTCAGTTCTAGGTTGTTGTGCCTGCATTAGGGCTAGGTTAGCGCTGCGTGGTTCAGTTCTAGTTTGGTTTGCCGGCATTGGGCTAGGTTGGCGCTGGGTGGCTCAGTCCTAGGTCGGTGTGCCGGCATTGGGCGCTAGGTTGGTATTGATGGGATAATCTCTAGGTTGGTATTGCATGGATAGGTGCTAGGTTGGTGTTTGTGCGATCGACCTAGGTTGGTATGGCTTGCATAGGTGCTAGGTTGGTGTTGACGGGGGAAGGTGCTATATTGTGTAGACTAGGCCTAGGTCGCTCTAGGTTGGGTGGTTCTGTCGGTAAGAAAATGTGTCGGTGCATGGGTTATGTGCGCCCCCACAGGTGTATCGAATATTTTTCCCCTCAAACGCAGATGATGCCTGCTGAAGAATCGTAGAATCCACGCAAGTGCGGCGAAAATAATTGTAACCTTCTGCTGGAAGGGCAAAAGATTCGAATTTAAGAACAGAACACCAAAGCACATACCGGACTGCAGCCCCTTGGGCACGATCTGCACCGTGAGTCCGTCCCTCCGAAGCGAGTCCAACGTCGGCCCGGTCGCCCTCTCCAGCGGCACTAGCACCACGATGTCGCCCTTCGCGCCCGCGGACCTCAGAGACTGCGCCAGAACCCTCGCTCCCAGCAGTCGGTCGCCGCTCTTGTCCCCGTTGCTTCCGCCCGAAGCCCCGAAGCCGCCGCCGATGGCGGCGATGGTGGTAACGTAGGCCCGGGAGCCTTCCGCCGGGGAGCATAGCCTGGACGACAGCGCCGTGGCCGCCGGTCGGAAGTCGGCGGGCACAGGCGAGGTTACCGTCGCCACCGCCGCCGCCGCCGCCGCGGCGGTCGCTCTCAAGAGGGCGACCGCCAAGACCGCTGTCGTCGACGCCCGCTGGCGAGGCACGTGCGACGCTGCTGCCGACCGGTGCCTCGCTGGCCCGCGGAGATGACCCCTGCCGCCGCCGCCTTCCCCGGTGCCGACAGAACCACCATCATCCTTGGCGCCTCCGGTAGCGGAAGCACCCTCTCCCCCCTGCCAAGGACCCCGAGTGCGATGCTGCGCTGCCGCTGAGGGGTCGAAAGCACCAAGGGGTTGTTGCTGCTGCCAGGCAATATGATCATTGGTCTCTTCCTTCAGCGTCGTGGGAGTGCGCGCTCGCTTTAGCCCTGGCCTGGCGAGGCGGTGCGGTGGCGCTGCGCGCGAAGCCGTAGTCTCCATAGCTCCTTGCTGCCGGTGTGTTCGTTTCCCATCAGCAGCCGTGTTTGCTGGGCGTGTGAGCGCGAGCTTGCGTGTGTGTGGGTGCTGACGGTTCGCCTGCTGGGGAATACGGCAAGAGGAGAATAATTGTGCTCTTGAGCGGGGAGCAGATGGTCACTGTCAACGTAAGCTGTTCTCCGAAAAAAAAAACGTGCCCGTATGGCACACATACACCTGGCTTCCCAAAGGAGGTGTGCATACGGCAAAAGCCCAGAGGCGCAAACAGAGGGAGAGATTGTGCTTGATGGCATGGCGCCTTGTCGTGTCGGTATCGAGAGAAACGAACGGCAGACGCAACTACAGCAGTATGATGATAGCAGAAGAAGCACCAGCAGAGACACGCAAACCGCGGCACAACGAACGGGAAAACAAAGGTAGGAACTTGGAGCACCGATCGCCAGGGGTGTACATGAGCGGCGGCAAGAGAGCGTGCACAGAAAGGCCCCAACCCCAATCAATCAACACATCCCATATGACTACCTCGCACTCCACCTCCACGCACCCGTTATTTCCAAATGGGTGGGAGAGGGGCAGTCAAAGTGCTTCGAGCCCGCGCGCCAGCCAAAAACCCACGTCTCTATCCCCAAGGTCCACGCACCTCCGACAAGGAGCGACCACAATCGAGTTGTGGTGCGTCCTCCGTCCTCAGTGCCTCAGAGAAACCGCTTGCCCTTCCCGACTCCTGTTCCTCGTCCTTGCCTGCTCCTGCTGTGTTGGGGACCCTGGTTGTTGTTGTGTGAGGTGCTATGGCGTGAGTAAGCGAACGGTGATCACGGGGAATGTGCGAGCTCCCAAGGAAACACTCTGGAAAAATTGAAGACGTTTCGCGGGGGGGCCGCGGAAAACAAGGGTGCATCCGTGCGTGGTTCGCCTTTCGCCGAACAGGCACAAATCCTCCTCGCATGTGTGCTGCTGTATCGCTGTATATATCCGTCAGCTACCTGCTATAAAATACGTGCAGAGCGGGCACGACGTTGTTGGTGCGTGATATGTGAACGCTGCATGTTGCAGTAGAAGAGGGCACTCGCTTTCCTCCTGCGTATGCGTGCTGCACGGCATGGGCCCAAAAGCGATGGCGGTCGTCGCCGATCATCAGCAGGTGGGTGCCGGACAACGTACAGAGTACGATACACATGTTTCGGCTCGTATCCTTCCTTGACTATCAAATACGCCAATCCTCTTGCATGCCTGCTGCGTGCAACTTTATTGTTGTTGCCTTTGACATGAAGACCCCTCTCGAGCCCTGCGCCACATACATGTGACCTGGACCAGTTGTACATTCCCCCCGTTCACTGAGTCTGCGTAAGAGTGTAGCATATACCATCTTTCGTACCCAGTGACTGCTGCACTTGCTCATCGGATGTACGAAATGAACTTGCAATGCATGTACACCATGTACAACACGGTCTCTTTGGCTTCTTGTGCGGATATAAGCGTTGTATGTATTCGACCGCCACGTAATGTACATGTATACATGCGTGGTAGTACCTCACTGCTGTGCAGGCTATTTCGCACCACTCGAAAAAGTGAATGACGCTTCACATACGCGCGAAGAACTACCTATATCGATCGTGTATTGTACCGCGCCATGGATTACATGCATGTAGACAAAATATTTCTAGATGCTGTTACCTGTACGTCAAAGGACGGTGGCGAACGACGAGCACTCTTATCCATTACACCTCCCGCGTCTCCACACTTCTTCGGCTTCGCCCATCCATGTGCCTGTCGCCCTCGCCTCCTGGCAGAGGACCCGTGGTGATGCCAGCGCCAAGAGAAGCGCTACCGCAGGAGGTGATACCGCAGGCGCGGGCAAACGTACTCACGCCGACATCATATCTCGGGAAGGTGGCGCTTTCGGATCATCCGACAGTTGTGTTGGTGATTTGATGCGGACGAAGAGTCACGCCCGCTCATGGGTGTCTCTACGCCACAATCTGCACGAGGCTCTGGTCGAAAGCGGGGAGAAAGGCATCGAGCGGATGCAGAGTCTTCCCAAGATGTCCGAGCTCGTGGCAAGTATGAAAGACAACGTGAGTCTCTGCTCGTGTTCGTACCGCTAGTAGACACCAACTATCAATAGCCTACGTTTTCCGCGCAACCCACCGCATAACACCTCCCGACTGCTTTTCCTCCCGATAGGCGCAGCACACGCGGCGATGGACTAGAGTGGGGGGAGAGCCTATTGAACATCTGCGGCGCAATGGAGTTCCGCCTGCACAGTGGTTATACGAAGGTTTAGGGTCCGTCAAAAGGTTGTCTTCCTCGTCTCTCCGGGGCAAAAGGTGCAACCACCGCTGCTGCAGAACTTCTCCGCATTCCAATCCTGCTGGGCGAAAATATGGCGTTGTCATGGATGGCCATTTGGGAGCGGTCTCGATTGAACGGGAGCGATTCCCTGGCTCTGACAGCCAGGCGGAGGTTGTTTTGAGGTCAAATCATACCGCGTCTGACGGTGGTACTGCTGCTCCAGTATCTTCTTCGGCGGGTTTTCGTCGTAGTCCGAGGATGGGCAAACCACTCGGTTTGAGTATATACGTAGAAGCACACGTTTGTATTTGGCACCTCTGGCAAACCTTCCGAGCAAGAGTTGCGTGGTGGAGAGATCAGCACTTGTTGGCACGAAGAGACTTTTGTCGGTGCAATGAGTACGAGGCATGTTCAGCGAAAATTGTCGGTATATGGGAGCTTGAACGAAATTGTTGTCTCTTTCGCCTCCTTGACTCGTATATCCTCAGTCATAGACTGAAAATATTCTTCCTGCAACCGCTCACGGACGTTTCGATGTATTGTCACAGGATTATCACCGGCCCCTTCGGGGGTGAGGCCGCGTCCGTCTCAGCAGCAGCTTCTCTAGACCTGCTGAAAGATTCCGACTCGACTCACGGAATCGATGCAGGGTGAGGTTTTCGGTAGGATATCCGATTGATGTCCAAGTTCGAAAAGTCGCGGGATACTTTCACCCTATAGGTTGACCACTGCACTCCGTATTGGTTTAAAAACACGGTGGGCTCAACACGGAGTTCTTTCTAGTCCGGAATTCTCCTGGGTTCTCGCTGATCGTTTGCCGCATGCTATGGGTAATATCCTTGAGTTACGTCCCTTGAAGTATGCAACCACACAAACAAGCCACAAGCTCGGCAATGGCAAGCGTTTGTCCCCGAATGCAACGAGGTTACTCAGCATTTCGAGGATCTGCCTGGATCACGTTGTTAGGCAAGCAAACACATCCTGTGTTTCTGCTTCTTGGTTGCAGGTTTATCACTCCCGCAGGTGAAGGAGAACGTATTGACCAGTAAGTAACGCGATAGGGTGCTTGGTGGTAACCGCCTACTTCTAATAACCAAGTAACTCCCTGGTTCCCGTGTTCCCCTGGACCAAGAGGTAAAAGCACGGGAAACCGTTCTTCTGGCGACGAGACGGAACAAAAGAAAGACGCCGCCAACTTCCTCGACTTTCTGGCGTCGGAGTTCATGACGCGCCTTGACTCAGGCGGCAACGCACACGCGCGGCGGCAGTCGAAATGGAAGCGCAGTTTCGAGATCGCGCTGGATAGGTGGCAGCAGAAGCAGGCGCGCAGCGATGAGTTCTTTGAAATCTACAGGCGAGTTCAGCTCCGCCGCAAAACGCAGGGACAGAAGCGAGCTGGACGCGAGTGAACTTGCGCAGCCCGTGGTACAGTAGAGGTGCATGGGTTGCAGAATCATGGACCGCCGATATGCTCTCCGAAGCATACCGACAGTAACCCTTTTGGATGCAGCCTTCTTTTGCCCCCCAAGACTGCTTTGTCGCCATGCTCCCTAATCCCGACCCCATGGCACCCGTTTTTTTTTTCAAATATATTTCAATCCGCTTCCTTCTCGCTCGTTCTCCCGGCGTTCCTCGCCTCTGGTCCCGTCGTACTCCGATCGTGTACCACCTCCCCACCCTGGACGACTGAACGGACCAATTTGCTACGGCTCTCGCGAATCCGGACCTAAAGACGAGCGCATGGTATAGAGAGCGCGGCAGCAAACTTCGGAGATTATTTCCTGCTAGAGGCAGCCTATGATGTGGATTTCGACCAGTGAGCGCAGCAACACATGATCGCGAATGATTGGTCACGGCCTGCACAATCCAGGCTTAGTGCACAATACACGACCCATTTTACGCGTCAAGTCACAAATTTGGCACGCTCGGTTCCATGTCATGCTTTCGTATATTCGTCCTATAGTTTGCCTGTGGGAGACGAGACATCCCACGTTCCACATTGTTTGTCGAACGATTGTATTTGCGATATCACCGATCGTTTGGAGGTAAGGTGGTCAACCGTTCCAGCGTTCTTTGCCAAGCGAATGGGGGAGCGAGATGGTTGCGGATCAAGGCAGCATAAAGTTTCGCCGGAGAAGGAGAATGGGCCAAGAATGATGTGCTGCACAACAACTGTTACGTAGGCTACGGGCTTCACGGCTGTTTACCGTGTTGCAGCCGCTGCTTGTGTCCCGTCGGTGGAAAATCGTGATTGTCTTGTCTTGCGCTATACATCGGAGACAAGCACCTACACAAACGCTTGGCATGCCCTTCTCCCTTGTTCTCCATCAACCTGGGGAACACGCCGGCACAACGACAGGGAACTGAAGTCGATGTACCCCGGTTCACCTCTCGGCCACCCGGTGGTAGCACCAGCACCGTCGCCATCGGTGTCCTCGCTCCATTTCCGAGGAGATGAGGAGTCTCCTCTCATCCTTGGCCGGCGGAGAGACGTGGTTGACGGCAACGTTGGTCAAAGCAGTCGCGGGAACGGCTTCGGTGGTGGAGACGATAACAGGCGAGTCGGCGGTGACTTCTGCCAACAGGACGAACGTGGGGTTTCTGGGGCGGCAGTTCCAGAGGGAACCACGGAAACCTGTTCCACAGTTTCTCCGCAAGAAGACAATCAATCGTCTGAAAGCTACGAGTGTCAGGGGCTGAACGGTAACGACAGCACAACGGCGCGTGCCCTAGTCTACGACGATGACATCGACAAGGAACTGGGGGGGATTCCTATCACCGATGGCGTGGGGACGGGGGTCGAGGGAGAACAGAATTCCGCCCAGGTAGATCCGAAAAAAGGTACAACGTCGGTAGGAACAGCAACCGGAACAGACTCGGAGATAGCAGCATCAGCTGTAGAGGGTGAAGACGCTCAGGAGGATGGCACTGGTTTCCTGAACGAGCCACCAACCGCGGCGGGATCAGCCGACAATGCTGCAGCGGAAGGCAAGAGAGGATTCGGTGCGGACTGCGTCTCCGAAGACGCGCAGGATATCAACCTTACTAGTAGACACAGGAGGGTAAACCATGGTGTACCACGTGATGTGACGGGTAGCAGCAGCTATCGCCGCGCTAGGCCAGTTTTAATGCCCAGCAGTGGAGCGTTGGGGGGAAATGGCGGAGGAGCAGCTGCGATCGAAGGCGACGACATCGCCCCAAGACACGGCGGGCACGATTGTGGCAGTAGCTCGAGCACCGGGAGTGAGCTCACGCTTGGAAGGCCAGATCCTTCGTCGGTGCACTGGAAGTTTTCGAGGCGTCTCCTGCAAACGTAAGCACATCGTTGAGAACACTGATTTGAGGAAAGTGGGGGGGGTTATTGAAGGTCGTGGTGCGACGGGGAATACCCCCGCCACACTTCCGCCCCCCCCGGTGTTTGCCATCGGGATCGGGTTTTCGTCGCTTGGCAATGACGTTGTAAAACAACCCAATTCACTTCGTGAGTTCGGCAACCAGATGACCGTTTTTTTTGTTACCTTTGTTTTTATTTTGGCGGTAACCATAATGGTGGTCGAGTGGATCATGTTGTGCGGGGTGGAGAACCCTCACTCCGCGCATGGGGGATGATCGCACCACGTTGTGTTAAATGGTCAAGCACCCTCGAGGCAGTTGCACAGTGCTTTCAACTGTCTCTGGAAGTGAAAGCACCAGAAAATCGATTAAGTCATACGCAGCTGTCATCCGTACGCAAGGAAGTAAGCACAAGATGCCAAACACCCGTAGCAGGATGCAGCGCACCCTTCGTGCGACTCGCCGAATATCTCGCGGCGCTTCGCGCTTGGTGATGTGAGAGGCTAGTCCGGTGAGAACCCGGCGTGCTCCGTCCCGGCTTTGTAGGGATGCGAGGTCATTGGTCTAACGACTACGGCATGCACGACTATGAGTACACGCCCCCCCTTCATCTCTTTCTCTCTCTCCCTCTCTATCTCGCTTACGCGTGCCCACACACACGCGCACACGCACGCGCTTACTCTTCCCAGGTCGTCCGTAATTTTTTCCCCACCCCTCAAATCTAACCTGTCTCCGCACTCTGACCCGAAGACCAAAAACCCAACTATGTGTGCGCACAGGCGGACGACTCCGATGGCGTTGACAGAGACTGTCGATGGAGGAGTAGAGCTGTCCCTGCCGCACCAATCGCTTGGCAACACCTACATCGAGCTCATCTCGGAGGTGGTCAAGGACCTTCCGGGGGTGACACGCCTTAACCTCCGGGACAACCGCCTCACGGATGTCGGCGTGCAGGAGATCGTGGAGGCGATATGCGGCATGGATGGACACAGAGGGATTCAGGTTAAGCTGTGTCCGGGCTCCAGGGCGGTGTGTTTGTTTGTAGCCCGGGCAGAACTCGTCGGATGAGGGGGTGTGGTGGTGGGGATGATATCAAAGTTGTCAATGCGTCCAATAGGCTCATGATCCCCCCTGTTCGACTGTGCATTCCCGGTGGGTGTGTGCTCTTCAAGCCATGTCCTGGCTAGGGTTCACACGAGCCGTGTGAATCTGAAATGCTCGGTGCCCTCTCAGAGTGGGGTGCCACCTCTGCTATTCCGGTATGGACAAGTTGATGGACGGTTTATCGAGCCTCTCCCATGCCGATGCCATGATATAAGCGGCACATGACCTAACAACCAACGGCAAACTTCATCAACACGCACAGCAACAACACGAAACCTTCTGCAGGTCCTGGACCTCTCCGAAAACAAGCTGGACACCGAATCGGCCCAATCTCTGTGTGCCTTCCTCAAGAGCCCTACGTGCTGCCTCAGAGAGATCCTGCTTGCCAAGGCCGACATCGACGACGGAGAGACTGCCATCGTAATGGAGGTACGATAATCAGCGCAAATTACGATCTGTTGAATAGGCGGAAAAAAGTTCCAACTAGAGTGCCGTTACGTCGTCAATTACAATATATAGTGAGTGCAGCACAGCAGCAACGATTCTTAACCCACTTCTTACTTCCGAAACACATCTGAACTGAGCATTACAGCCAAATATTTGCTTGCGACCGCAACAGCACACTATGTTGTTGTTTCGTCCGACAGTTTTCCCATGTGCTTTGCCACTAATCTATTGCACGAAAGTGACAGGCCAGGAAATCGTTGCTCGTTTCTATCCGGGAAAATCCTTCTGGCATCGTGTTAGATATTAGTTTTCACGATGAAAATCAACCTGAACTCAAGTAAATACGCCCTTGTGACGGTGCAAAAGCACAGAGTTGAGCTTGATGGGCCGTGTGTGGAGCGGTAGTTCTCCTACTTCCACACATTGCTCGTTGAGCAACGACTTTCTCTCCCGGAAATCGATTGCTCACTTCACAGGCGATGCAACACAACCATTCGGTGAGATACCTCGACTTCAGCGACAACTCGATCGGAGGGGGATACGAAAAGACGCAGTTTTCGGGCGGTCCAACCACGGGCGGTGCTTCCATAGCGCTCGCCCTCGGCGTGAACACCACGATTCGACATATCAACCTCCGATGGAACCTTCTTGGGTCAAAGGTGAACGGTTTCACACAACTGAATAAAATCCCCCCAGCGCAACTTCTTCGTCGCTAATCGACCGGACCAACACCGAGGTACATGATTGGCAATAGGGGATAGGTGAAGAATGGATGGATTAGGTCGGGAACACTACTTCGCTTCACAAACACGTACTGTGTCGGAAGAAGGTCGGCGTGAATAGTTGTGTCCTTGCGGTGTCGATCTCCACAAACATCGACTCGTGTTCTCAGATAATCAGATTAGTGCGTTAAAGAAAAAAACACGGCCCTTCATTCGTTGAAGGAAACGTGCAAAAGGAAAATGATTTGGTAAGTATCCATGTTCATGGATCGGCCAACCCCAAGAGTTCTTAGGCAAGCACCGCGTATTTTTACCGTTAATTCCTACCTTCGTCTCCGATTACGTGCGGGTGTTTCTCCTCTACTGCATACTGATATAGAGTGGAGTTCTGCTGGGCAGCGCGCTTGCCCAGAACCACACCTTGGAATACCTGGATGTATCGTACAACGCATTGGGAAACGAGGGGGCGCAGGCCATAGGGACGGCTTTGGCGGTGAGACATTGCGCTCTTGGGTCGCAATTGGAAGTTGTAGTGGGTCTGTTTTCGTCGAAACCTTTTCCGTCGTCGGTTGCCGCCGTTATTTCGCATCTTTTGAGGCAGACGAGGACAGTGCACAGCCGTTGTCGTACATCATTGCGGGCTTTTGGGTGTGGGAAGGACCAATGTGCCTCGTATGAAGGGTTGCTTCTCCTGGCTCAAGGTCGACGTTTTTTTTTTTATATTCACTTCAAATCAGCGCTCACAGCACTGGTCGCACGGAAGGGTCCCTCTATACCCTCCCCTCCTACGGTACGCTGCCTTCGATTCTAAACGCGAGAAGATTTCAGCGCTCTCTTCCCTCTGTGTACACACGAACTTGCGCTATCCACCAGGCCAGGAGCGGAAGCGAGAGAAAAACTCCCTTTGCAAGAAAAACTCGCTTACGCCGGGATTCGAACCCCTGACCTGACCTCTAGAAGGTTTCGAGGATACCAAACTAGACCACCGGGGCGGCTGTAGATCTACTAAAAATAGCGCAGTGTAGAGACGTGCTCAAACAACAAGACGCGCTTCGAAACTGATAGGTAAACGATGGACTGGTGTGTCTGGACCTAAGTTACAACGAGATCTCCCCGACAGGCGCTCTCGTCATCGCGCAAGCGCTGGAGAATAATGACCGCCTCGAAACCTTGCGCTTAGACGGCAACAGGTGTGTGTGTGTGTGCGCGCGTGTGTTCATGTCGTGTTGTATTTCCCTTCGATGAACCGTTTCCGATGCTTTGAAGGCCAAGAGTTGTTTTACAAGGAAGTCTTTAAGAGACCTCTTTCGCAATAAACCAGCCCCGGTTGCGGGAAGCACAGGCAAGGGGTGATGGAGGTGGGGCAAGGGCTTCTCTGGGAGAATTTGGCAGCAACCGGTTTTATTACCACACGCCGAATATCAGTAGGTTGGGTGCCCTGCAAGCCATACGCATTCAACACCAAAAACTCGCGTACAGCACCCTTCCACGCGATTGCCTCCTTGTGACACATGGCCGTGCCAACCACTGTCAATTATTTCGTTTACTTGAAGGAGCACGACGGAGACCTATCTAGATTGGTGCGCTTCCACACACACACACACCCGCCGGACAAGCCGGTGTTTGAACGTGAGCCCTGCCAGCTTGACCATCAAACTGCCGCTGTGACAATTTGTGATGTCGGCACCACAGCATCGGCTTTAACGGGGGTCGCACCCTCGTTCGAAGTCTAAACTACTGGACGCTGTCACGGACTCTAGGGCTGAAGAATTGCATGCTAGAAAGCCGGGCGAGGGTGGGGGACTGCTTCGACCCACTCTTTCCTACAGGAAAGTGAGTTGAGTTCGCGATACCCTACCCCCAAAACCCGCGTATATCGCGCGTCGATGCATTGTTGCGACAAGGAGCACTGCATGCCCTCCTAGGAATATATTGCCCGGGTTTGGTCTGATTTTCACACAATACAGACGTGCATGAGTGACAGCCCCACCAGTCCCAGACGTGCAGCGCCTATTCGTGGGGATATGTTGTTCAACTGCGTGCTCATCATCATACACTTTTCGCCAAGTGTGCAATACAAAATGAACCTATCCCCCCGTAAACACACCCGAGACATGAGCCATTGTCCATCCTACAAGCCCTTTTTGCTTCTTCTGTTGCTTCCCACGGATGGTTTGGTCGATCCCCGGCGGCACGCAGATACTCGTTGGATTGCTCCAAGCCCTACCAAAAGGCTGTGGCCTACGAACTTCTGAGGATTGCGAGCACGCGGCCGGGTAGTTCTGTGAGGTACGTAAGGGCTGGATCGTCCTAGTTCAGAATATGTCCCTTCTTGCAAGTCATTAACTTGTTGCCGTGGACATCATGAGGGTCGCGTTGCCGGGAAAACTTTGAGGTGGCAACGACAAGGCTAGACGATGGTGTTGACGGGACTCGCAACGCACAGTAGATAGCCTGCGCCAACGGGGTGCGGTGCATTTCGAACGGAGGATAGCGCTGAATGAGGTCTTCGCCAGGAGGAGCTACGGTATGTTCGATACGAGCCTTCGCCCGATGCAAGTGAACCTACAGAGCTACGGAGTGCTACAATACTACGGAACGCATCATCACGCGATTGAGGCTCGTAGTTCAGATAATAACTCTTGGGTGGGCGGATGACGAACTTCATGTTCTGCGGTAGAAGCATTCATCGCGTTTGAATGGTAGTGAAGTCAGCAAGAACCGCATTGCTACCGTGAACCGAACCGATGTGCAGACCTAGAGACTTTGTTACCAATTCCTTCCGGTTTTGCTCTCGGAACATCATCTGCCGTTCGTTGGAGTGGGCACGGAAGCATCCGCCCAGAATGATGTGCTTCGCTGGAACAGGTAACCGATAGATCGATATTCTCGAACACGGTAGAGAGTCACGCTCGTGCCGTTTACCTGGCAGACACTATGATCGTTGGCCGTGAGCTTGAGATGAAGCGCAAACTCGTTCTCCTCTCTTGAACTCCGTTTTTTCATCGATTGAAGTACTCTCTGAGTGGTTGTAACGCTCAAGTCCCCTCCGGTTCCGTGCACTCCTCACTCTTCGGGGGGACTTGGGGCGGGTGATTGCTGGCATACCCGGATGCTTCGACTTCACCATTGTTTCGGTACAAGATCCCTCGTGGTTAGAGACCATCCATCAGACAAGAAGGGGGTGGACGTGAGAGTCGTCAGGCCCGGCGATGGAATCGGGCTGTGGAAAATGCTCGGTCAACAACAAGAGAGCCAGCAGATAAGCCGGGCAGACAGGTGTGCACCTGCGTTAGGGTAATGTTGAGGTAGGCGGAGACACCGCAATGAGTAGACTTATCTATGTCGGACAGGCTGTTTTTATGGACGATTTCACCACAGAAAGGGCTCCGGTGCACCGAAAAGCGAAACGTCGGCGATACTCCTTCCCCCGTCAAGGCGCGGCTTTGACCTACGCCACGGCGTCGGAATTCGCCACAGTTTTCAAGCGGCTGTAAGCCATACTTTTGTGTATCGCAAGGACAGTCCCCGCTCCCACCAGTTAGTTCTGTACTGGTGCTAGCGATACCCGACCAGTTCCTGATGCAACGGCTAGCACATCATCACACTCGTACGCCATAGAGACACGAACCAGGCACTTGATATTTCGAATTCATGTCGTCACTCTGTACCGCAGTGCTTACGTCCTCCATAAGATTTGCAGCAGCAGCCGCGCCTTGTCATTTCCAACTACGTGTCGAGGAATAGCAACAGCAAGAACGACAGTGTTACGGTTGATAGTTGACAGCGATACAGTCAGCGTTTCGGTTGGCTCCACGAGCCGATACACCAAGAATATACCAACGCCAACGGCATCCCCTCCCCTTGCTATTGCTCGCTCCAAACTACTGTAGTTGGCGACGTAGACGTTTGACCTATGGGATATATGTCCGCGTGTCGTTGCACCAATTCGCGGTGCCCCTATGTTATATCTTCCCACCAGCGTGTTGTGAAACGCCGAGGACTCCTGTTGGTTCTTCTGTGATTTCGAAGACGTTTTCTGCTGTGCAGCCCGCTTCCTCCCAAAAAAGAAACTGCAGAAGGATGCGCCTCCTCTCCCGGAATGGTATTTTGAAGACTCCGGGTGCACCCTCGCAGACTAGGTCTCACACGAGAAGCTAGGTGTACCTTATCAAGTCCATCGTAGGGGGCCTATCCGATGAGTAGTCTTGGGTCATTCGCAGCACAACTAACTTTGTCATCCTCGTGCTTTGTGCTAACAGCAAGATATCACGCCGAGAGATGCGCAACAGGCATGGCCCCTCGATTCCTTTCGCCACCATGGACGCCATTGAGTGGCGGTTTGCGCTCAAAGAAGCCTGGTTGATAGACGCCACCACTGGGGACCACTTCTATCCCCCGGACACGGTAGGTCGGTAGGTGGGTGGGCTTGCTGGCAACATCGTGTTTGGAGTTTTCTCTCCACTATTGACGAATGCGCTTAGACTGCACCCCTCCGCAACAAAGTCACCGTGGTTTCTCCTGATCCTCAACTTTAGTCCCTCCTGATCCTCAACATTAAAGCGACGAGCTCCTTCCGCACCCGCATTCTCAACGTGTTGCTTCGTCGATCGGAGGTGCACAACGCGGCACGTTTTCTGATCTGCCTCAACCCTACAACCCCATAGAGAAAATAATGGTTAGGAGGCTGAATTGCGTGTCACCGGGGTATTGTTTCCAACGACCAAAATCGTCGACATATCACGAGCAATAGGGTTGAGATGGACTCGACTCATTCGTCCTTTGCTTTCGCTGACAGAAAATATATCATTGCAGCTAGGGACGAACAACTCGGTGCAGCTCCGTCTCGGCCATCATTGCTGGCACCCGACCAGAGCTCGCACGCAATTCTAGTTGGTCTATCTCAGACGATCCCTAAAGATCAACTCTATACTCAGATTATTTTCAATTGTTTCACTAATTATATACAGTACCACTTAGTATACGAAACAACATGTCTCATTTGGATGCGGAAAAAGGGGGCAGTCTCGAAGGAGTCATTTTGGGGGAGGCATTTGTTCGATCGAGAACCGACCAGACCAACAGAAATTCCCATTTTTGGTGTCCATTTCCAACACAAGATCTTTGCTCGACGTGTCGTCATGAACACAACCACGACCGCAAACCGTGACACAGGGATATCTAGAGGTGGACTTCCTGTGTCATCCCCTGCCGCCCACCGGCTGGGCCCTGATCAACGCGAGCGGCATGCGGCACCTCCAAGCCCTAGCGGAGGGAGACGAGCAGTGCCGAGACCAACCCCTGCTTTACCTTAAGATGGCGTCAAAGGATCTCTTCTTTTCGACTCAACAGGTGAACAACTATGGTGGGGGATACATAATTGAAACCACACAGTCACAACATTCAGGCTGAAAACTCGGGTGTTTGAGATTGCCATTCTGTGGCCTACGTAGGAATACCCGAATACGTTCCTAAATTCTGTCCTGAACCTGGATGGCAACCCGGTACTTCCCTGGATAGATATGGTACGGCGCTAAGAACATGAAGAAACTCTCCTTTGTTTGTGTTTGAAGGACTCGTGCCACCGCTTCTGCAGCCCCTCCTCCCCTTTCATGTCGGGCGACCGCGCCTCCGGCAGGTAAACGAGGTAATCCGCAGCAGCAGCAAGAAGTTAAACTCGCTTCAGGTAGGTGTCTTAATTTTCTTTGAGGGGTGATAAGTTGGCAGTGATACTGTGTGGGTTCGAAGGTTTCCTCGTGGTACCTTGGCAAGTTTTGGCCTTTTGTGTCAGACTTAGGAGATGAAATGGTTCGCGGTAGGGATCATCTCGCTCTTAATAACGATGGCAGCGCCTATCATAACGAGGAGCATTACTTTATGTCGTTGGTAGCAGCCACAATCAAGAGGAATAACCTCGACGTTAGTCACGGTGGTCGTTGTACCATACCACCCCAGTTGACCTCGACCAACGTGGTCCGTGTACGTACGACCCCCAACAATGTATACCTCCAAGTTCACTGTCTCAGTCGTTCAGCTGCACTGCCAAACCCACTCAATCAACTCTTTCACTTGGAATGTGTTCGCACTTGCCCGTGCCGCTGCTATCGTTAGATATTTCAATGACAACCGTCATTTCTTGTTCTGGGCCCATTATCAGGAAGCAATGGTCGTAGAACTTCAGTACTGTTGACTTCACCTTCAACCTCTGTTGTATTCGATAGCTGACCATGTGTGTGATTCTCATGCTCATAACAATAAACCTCCCGGGGTGATGCCGAAACGAGGCGAAATGACGATAAGCCGCCAGCTTGTCGATTCTGCTACCTCGACAATAATTGCAGAGAAAAAGGAGAAAACAACAAACAAGAACACACGAGATCGAATGGAAAACGCCTATTACCTTCAACGTGGAAAGAGATGAAACAAAGCAAACTATCGCACCGTCTAAAAAGGCCGAGGTATTGGCAATTTGGCATATTGGCTGTGTGCGAAACATACATACGTCAGCAGGTTACCCTTTTCGATACATGAAGGAAGGCGCACTCATTTACAGGTGCCCACCAGCCTGGCTTGTTTTCCAGTCATGCAAATGCCATTCATCCGTTTGTCGTGGACCAACAGTATCTCATGCCCACTGACGCTGAGCAGGTTCAGGACCTGCTTGTGGCCTTAATACCGAAGCTGCAGAACCCTAGATGCCTCCAAGGCTTGCTGGAGATGCATCTCGAGCCCAAACAAATCCACCTCGTTCAGGTGCAGTAGCTGTGCCTTCGTGCATATCCCAAAGCCAAACGCGATCCTACGCACTCGTAGTTGTGCTTTCGTGCGGACGCAGGTGCCGTGGGTGATTGACAGGGAAGGTTGGGTTAAGTGAAGTGATCCCCAGTTTGTGGGTTCTCTTTGTGGTCGCGAAAGCCGTGTTGTCATTGATTGCTTTCGGTCGTGGCCCTGGCTTCAGTGATAGAGGAATAGGCGGATCCTGGATTGAGTTGATTGTCTTCCCTTGTACACTAGTGGTGAGTGGGCACCGCAGGGGAAGATACAATTCTCAGAAGCGGATGACCGTCTGCAGGATATCATTCCTAGGAATTGTGGACAATACACCTCGTTGGGGAATACGTGAAAAACGTGCCCGGAGTAAATGCGTATGCTGAAGGGAGTCCTGGGTACCGGTGCGGAGGTGGCGGGAAGCATGACTCAATATCGCCTCCCTTCTCGTCGTTTGTTCTGCTTCAGCGAATCTTTGGGCACGCATTTGCCGCTTTCACCGATTGTGTCGGCGGGCACTACACTTTAGACCTGAGCAGGGAGCTGGATAGAGAAGCGGCGATGAGACTTTCTGAGTGGGGGCATCTTGACCAGATGTGCCTGAGGTGCGCGGCTTGCCATTGCGTTGAAAAATTGTCATACGGTAGTGAAACCTCATTGTTTGGTCTTGATGCCGACAGCTTCACTCAAAGATACGTTGTTCCAAGGGACGTTCGCCGAAGGTGGTTCTGGTGTGATTCTGCATTGCTCTTCTCGACTAATGAGACCTCCGCCCTGGCCCCCCATTCCTCAAATACTTCAAAGGGCCGTTTTAAACTGACCGACTTTTTGTCAAAATGTTTGAAAGTGTCAAAAAAATGGAACCTGTATGTAGGCGTTTGTCCATATTTTTTCAAAATATTTGGAACGAAGTTGGGCGCGAAAACTTTGCTCCACTTCGTTCCAACTTTTTGACAACCCTCTCAAAGTATTTGGAGCACTTTCCAAAGTACCCTTGCAGAGGCACGCGAGGGCTGCTGCGTCTGCACCACGAGTGCCCCTCACCGTAGAAAGTCAGCTAGGGTTGTGTGTGNNNAAAAAACGGCGGTCCGCCATGATGGCTTGCAGTTGTTGCTTCGCGTCCGCCGCTTTGTTTTTTCCTTTTCCCGGGGGGGTAGGAGCAGTGGTTGCCACCCCTCGCCGGCGGAGTGTTGGTGGCGGCAGCGCCTCCCGTGGTAACATGAGTGTTCCCCGAGATGCCAGGCAGCAGCACTATCTTGCTGGAGAGCAAGCCTCCACCGCCTACGGCGGCACCGAGAGAGCCCGTCTGCTGGAATTTCGCCGGGGTTTTGGTCTGCCGGCCACGCTGGGTGGTCGTGATATCCATGTCGGTGTCCATGATGTCGTGTTTTCCGCGGTTTGTGTTGTGTCGTCTGTGTTGTCTCGAAGTGAGCGCTACAACTCACGGACGGCGTCATTTTTTTTGACACAAGTTGCACAAGTCTACGTCACACGTTTAAAATGACTGCACACAGGTTCCAAGTTTTTGAAAGACAACTGTCGAAAATTTTGACAAAAAAGTCGGTCCGTTTAAAACGGTCCAAAGTACTTCGTAATGAGCGACAATATTTGAGGGTTTCGGCGACGGCAACGGATACCTCGAATGACGGAACGGGTACAAATAATCCCTCCATCGTTCTCCTCGTCCCTCTCCCCTGGCCTGTTCTTCCAACAAATAAACTTAAACCCTAAGGGTGCTGAGTGGCTGGACGGCTGAATCGGGTGGTACCTCACAGAAAGGGAGATGGAGCAGCTTCAGAAACGAGCGCTATCGCAAGCGAGCTTTCACCAGGTACAGGAGCCGCCCCTGACCCGGCCCGTGTTCCTCGATTCTATTTCAATCGCACACTTATGGCTGAATAACCTAGTTGGAAACCACGTAATCTGCCTATCCCTAGGTTGCGGGTTCGACGCTGTACGGAGAGAAGAAAACACGCCATTCTGTAGTAGTGAAACGCGCGTAGTTCCGGGTACGCCCACCAATGAAGGAAGAAACTGCTGAACCCTTCTCGCGCAAATAATTGAATGTAAGCGCTGAAAGAGGAAAGGGAAAGGTGGTTTTCCTCTTGGGCCACCCTCGGCTGGTGCGCCAAACATATACCGAAAGGTATCAACTGCAGCCCAGGATGACTACAACCCAAAAGAAGAACGAACAATAGGATACCTGTGAGTTTGCTGGGACCAGCGCAAGACTGAGGAGGGAGCACCGCCCGTCGTCGTAGATTCTCCAAATTGTTGGTTGTGGAACCCTTCAGCCCCCTCTCCGAGCCAGTGTCGGTCCGAGACACTTAGTCGATAAGAAAGACCATTCTACTATTTATACGTCATAAACTCTTAGTCGTCTTCCTTCTGTCACCCGGGTTCCGCATGCGTTGTCTGTCTCCTTTCCTCGGCGTTCCGGCCGCGAAGAGGCCTCACAGAAGGATTCTTCAAGCTGGGCCTGACCGATCGTGTGCCCGGAGTCCTCGAGTTTGACTTTGTTTCAATCGCCCGGCCTCCCTCCGATACCCTGCCACTAGCTCCTGAGCAGTTTGATCGGTAAGATGCTTTTTCGGCACATCATACCACCGAAGACTTGCTTTCGGTTCCTTTGTGTAATACTGTGCGGCGACGTAGACCACGAACAAACGCACTGGGGGTGGCAAGGGATGCATGGTCGAGCCAGGACCACGCGAGCCCCTTAAAAACGAACAACAGTAAAGCGATATTTGCGCCTCTCTCCAAATACTTACCCTCAGCGAAGGGAAAGGATTCTCCGAGGTAGCCGTACACGCGTTCAAGCAACACATCCGACGTGCGGAATTGAAAAACTGCAGGCCGCGTGAGCCACTCGCATGAACCATACCCGACGCGCCTCCTCCACCCCGTTTCTCTTCCCCCCACTCCTACGCCTCCCTGCTGTTTTTCATTCCTAAACCCAACGAAGGTTTGTCGCCGAGTGCGGCCTCGCTCGCTTGGTGCCTCGTCCTTCCGGTGTTTTACGGCAGGAGCAGCAGCGGGGAGATGGGAGCAACAATGACGGCAACAACGATGACGAATTTATCGTGAATGCTGTGCACGGGCTATCGTTGGGGGACGCCGTTCGTTTGAAACTGGTGCGAGTTGAGGATCTGTCGAAGAAGGCATACCGCTATTTTTTCTTGTGGCGGGCCTGTGATTTCGAACGCCAAACCAATGCGTCAGAAAGCTCGCATGTAATCTGGAATTTAGGCCCACATCAAATGTTTCTTCACTTCCGCTCTCGCCGATGCGGGCTTTCTTGCCCTCGACTGGGTCGATCACGACTACTTCATGATACGACTTCTTTAGTTCCAAGGCTTTGGGGCGGTGGCGGCGAGTGGAAGAGTGAAAACCTTTAGATTGAGTCTGGGCGCTGGCTCAGATACGGGCCTGCTCAGAATAGATCTCGCCTTCGAGACAACTGCCGACGAACACGTGGCAGCTTCAAAGTGTTCCACGTAGATACTTATGTCGTACTTCAGGCCGGGACAGAATGTCCTGTTCAGCTACCGTTTCCAGCACGCTGGTGCATTTCCTCATTACAGAGGGAGGAAAGCGGGGGATGGGGATACTCATGACAGTAGTCAGATTCAACACCTCGTCTGCGTGACTCCCCAACATGTGCCTCTCCCGGAACGTAGTCCTAACGCTGTTGCAGTCGTAGAGTGCAATGATCCGGGTGCGCTACCTGTTTTTTCTGCCCAAAGTCTTTGCTCCGCTTGATCATTAATCACTTCCAGCAGGACAATAATTACTTCAGCAAGTAGGACAGAGCCCATTCGCGAAACGCCGCCAATCCACCTCCCCCCGTTTCCCTGCATATTATCCTCCGTTACCAACTGCTCTTGGAAAACACGGAATGAAGTCGTCAGACACCAGTGAAAAGCTCCGCCTATCGGCCGCTAACGCTGCGTACAACATGGAGGTCGAGGCTAGCAGACTCGCGCGAACATCTTCGTCAGACTGCGAGTCGAATAGCGACGACGACAGGAGCACGGGGTTGCCATCGCCGTCCGTGATTCCCAGGGCGTCACTCTCTCGCATCTCGGCGACCGGTGGTTCGCAAGAACAGCCTGCACAAAGAAGAAATCCCCTTGCGACCGCCAAACACCGAGGCAGCAGCATTAGCGCTACCACGAACGCTCCCGATGGAGCAGGGACTATGGCAGGAAGAGGGGGAAGCAACGGGGATGCGTCAGCAGGCGGATCGCCAGCGGCAGCGCGGCGGCGGAGCTTGGCCGCCCAGCTGGCAAGGTATGCTACGGATCGCACCACTCGTATCTACAGTGCACTGACATTTGCGGCGTCGACGGACCGTTGTCCAGATTGTTATGCTGACTGTCGAAGGGCGGAATTAGAGAAACGAGGCAGCCTGAGGGAGCGGGAGTAGAGGGCACTGACTTGATTCGGCGACTGAACTGGTGGCAACGTACCAACGTGTTATCTACCCGGTGATTGTCTCCTGTTGTTGGTTGGACTGTTCGAGTGTGGTTAATAATCGTGCTAGGTAGCCACTTGCAGTAGGTCGCAAAAGATGCCATACCCCCTGGACTGATTTCCACAGCTCGGAATACTCTGCAGCAACACAATGACAGTGCTGAAGGTGGTGGCATTGGAACCGTCGCGTCAAGAGCTTTCCGTGACCAAATCATTCGATTGTGGCATCCTCGATGTCGTGAGGTAGTCGAGCTTTGAAATCAGGCCCCAAGGGTGTGATATCATCTAGTATGACCTACTATGGGCACAACAATCCGATCATGCATCTGTTGGCAGCGTTCACCCTTACACTAGGACACCTCCTGCGGCCTTCGCGAGGTAGTCATCAAGATGTCTACTTCCGACCAATAGACGAAATTGAGGAGACGATGTCGTGCTGTGCTTTACCACGCGACGAGCCATTTCTTGCAGAAGCTTGAGCTGTCTACCCGTGGCACTTACTCCGTGCGATCCTCTCCAAAAAAAAGGCAGCGACTAAAGAAGGCGGCCAGGTATGCCGGGGCTGGTCTGGCCAACTCCCCCCCATTCGTGGCGAAGGTATCCCTCGGAGAAAGCTCCCTGCAAGATTTTCTCACTCGCGGTGGTGTGCCATGGAAAGGGTGAGAATTGGGGACGGCACGGGAGGAATGCGCCCGGCTGGTTAGCGGGCATGCTGTTAGAAACAAGCAGAGAGAGATTGTTTGGACGGGGTTCGTGCAACTCATCAGAAGCATGTTATCCAAGACTGCAAGACCAAGTCGAAGTCTATACGACGAGTGTTTTACACTGGTTCGTTTCGCAAGTATTGGCACAAGTAGACAGCGCCACAAATCTGCAACATAATCAACTGATTCCATAAATGAACGCACTCTTGTCAGATGGGCGGAGGGAAAACTGTCGGCGCTGTGGAGGCACCTCCTTGCCAAAGACTGCTCGCTGATGGATGGCTCTCCTCCTCTTTTGATTGCTCACATGGTTCGGGTGAGTCGAGGCCGAGTTGAAAATGAACGTTTGACCATCGAATCAAGTTTCGACGATCAACAATATTATTCATCTGTTTGTAGAGCTTCACAACTTTGTTGAAAACCCAATCAGGTGAGAGTCTGCCACGGGACGGAAGACAAGACCCTGGAGAGGCGTTCATCGGTGTACGCTTCCTCGCTCAAAGAGTCTACCGCCTGGCTCAGTCGAGGCTTCTTGGGGCGTCTCGTCAAGGTGGATGAGGGGGCGTTCTGTGTAAACCCTTTCGGCACAACACAAATGGGGACGTTGTTAGTTTGTTTTCAAATACATCGAACAAAACGAGTAGATATCTTGGACCCGTATCCATGTATGAAGAGCGCACTATGGAAGCACGTAGGCGTCTTGGAAGAGCATACGAGCACCCCTACATCAGTTCTGGCACACCTACGTACACCAAGCAATCAAAACCCTCTAGCAGCGGGGCAGAGGGATCTTGGCCTGCTCCCACCTGGAATTCCTGAGATTGGAAACGAGCTAGCGACAGGTGCGCCGGTGGCCCCGAAGGTCGCCCTAACTTCATACAATTGCATCAAAACGCTTCGATGAACTGATGTGCCCCCACACCTTCGTCATCCCCAACACGGCAACATTCTGCCAGACGAGAGGTACACGCCCCGGCCAGGACCCGAAACGCGTCGCGACATCTTTGGTGCTCGATACCTTTGATACTTTCTTGTCTACGGAGGCAGATGTCTGGCTCGTGAAGAGGGAGTCGCTCGAAACCAGGGTGAGGTCGTACTGGTCTTTTCGTGTCTGGGCAAAATAGTTGCTGTTCTCCTAATCGCATCCCCCCGACAAGCCACCATCCCTACGTCAAACCCCTCCCGAACCACGAAAGTATCTGTTTCTGCTGTGCGCATGCGTGGGTCCGACAGACTTCCAATTGTCAGGGGTCCCCCCTGTGCCCGGACGCGCCTTCGATCCAGAAGAAGACTATCGAGCACATTTTTGATGCATACGTGGACAAGCTGCCGGATCACGACTTCGGCGTGCGCATGCCAAACCAGGAGGGCGTCGGCGGCGTCGGTATGAACGGTCGGGATGCTTCTTCTGCTCCGGAGAAAAGCAGTACTTGTAGTGCTACTACAGGGACGCAGCCGCCGAGGCGAAAGCTGGGTCAGGTCCTCGAAGACTTCAGGGGAGAGTGGAGCGACCTCGGCGACGTCTGCGGGGATGTTTCAGTGTCAGAAAACGATGACAACGATGTCAAGATGAGCTTCAGCGATGAGGAGGGCGGCGCATCGCCAGAGCCTCCGAGGTTCGAGTTCGTGTGGGTGGCTTCGGATGAAGGAGAGGCAGGCCCGCACACGGCCGTCGCCCCAAGGGATGCGGAGTGGGCAGCCGTTGCGAGGAACGTGCGCTTCCGCCTTGCCAGTGCGTGGCTCTCATGCGCCCAGGTACAAAAACAAACGGCCAATGCAAAGGATCTTGATTGTGGAACCTAACGTTCACGTGTATGTATATTGTCCACCCCGGATTGCGGTAGATCCCGTCGAAAAGTACCAACCGTCTTCTGAGTTCGCCCATTCCTGTCTGATCGCCGACCTCGCTTGATTAAGGAACTGGCCAGGTTGTTTCCACACACCCCTACATGTATGGCCTCCCAGCAACCCCCCGCCACACGCCCTCTGAATCTGCCTTGTCCGCGCTTGGCCGGGACTATCGCAGGCACGTGTCCTGGCAGGCGTCTTCCCAGAGAGAGCAAAGGGTACGACCGGAAACCCCAGGGAAGACTTAGTGGTGGAACTGTTCGGCCGCGTCACAGACATTGAAAACTTTTGCACCGTTCTTGCCATGCTCGGCCGGGATGCGCAGCTTTCGGCCGGGAGGCGATTGGGGTGGCTCAATGCCCTCAACCCGCATGAAATCGACAGGTAAAGGGCGGGGGGGTGTCTGCAGTCTGTGTGGTGCGCGGGGCGACCGACGCTGAACCACGCCGATATGTAGAAGGGGCTTCGCATCAACGTGGATGAACTAAACGGATATTCCGAAGGGTAGCACCGAACGCCAGCGGTGAGTTGTACCATGGGAGAGGTGGGCAGCGTGCACTTCAATGGCCACAGTCTTGCTCATCTGATCGAAACCAGCATCTTGGCGGAGGCTGTCAGTTGTGATCATTGTTCCCCCTCCAAGGGGCCCCGATCAAAGTAAACATTAAGACCTTCACGCACTTATCCCCTTTCCCTATCCGTTATTGTTTTCCGTGTTCGCTTTTCTTTGTGCTCGTCGGTACCGTACATCCATCGGCCCGCACGCTGCTCCAATCACACGTCGTCATTGGTTTTAGGCCGCTCGACCTCGACCTTCGACTCAACGACCACCGACGGATAGCAAGAGTCTTGTCCGAAATGGCGGTAGTCGAGCCCGGGTCTAACCTCCAAAACCAGCGATTCAGGTCAGTCAGGCAGGAAGGCAGGCTGGCAGGCTGGCAGGCAGTGAACCTGGTCGTGCATGCTTTGCGATGCGCATTGATGAAATGCGAAATAAACGTAGGAACAGGGGTGTCGTTCCCATCTAACGCAACGCAGAAGACACTACTAAGGTAAACCGGTGATCGGTGTCTACCAATTTTCCGTGTGCCATGTCGGTAGACATGTACACGATCAAATATGCTCACGTTTGTAGAAAAATAAACTACTGGAGGTAGACTATATTCCTACAGTAGGTTGAGTGGTCTTTAGCTCGCTTCCCCCTTTGGTTGCACGTATGCATGCAGCCGCCACGCCGATGCCGCGAGACACTTTTTCATCCCCGGGTGGGAAGTGCCTCAGACTTGGCCGGGTACACAGGGTGGTGGTGGCGGCGGTTATGGCGGGGTCCCGGACGATGGTCACTTCACGGTACAGTACTGCTCTGACGAGGTGGGCCTATGTGTGAAAGTTTATGAGAGTCGATCCATACACTATTCTACCTTGTAGCCCCGCACCCCGCTTGCCTGGCCGCCGAAGACCCGGGATGCTTGGCGAGGCTGTGCAGGGATATGGAATAAATTCGTGAAGGCCTTAAGTGCCCGTGACCATGATCAGAAATGCATCATCTACCCGCGGTGGGGGCGTACCTGATATGTAACGTAGGAGCAACCACCGTCGTAGATGCAGAGATGCTCACCAATCCCATGCTCACGTTTCCTGAGCTTCAGACAGCTGCATACTTGTGAGAGAATGCTCACCTTGCACATTAAATCGATCATTGCTGCACTGAAGTTGGCTTTCACCCACTTGGTTTTTGTGGTATTTGGGGAGAACATGCGTACCAGGCCATGCGTTACTCTTGTTCTACTGTACGCTGAATTTCATCGTTATTTCAAGCCATGAAAGCGTACACCGGCGGAGGTTCCAACCAACGAAGAGTATACGCGAAAAACAACAGAGTGGTTTCCTGCTTCCCAATGGCGTTGTTCGGAAAAAAATAACGAAGGCTTCAGGATGTCACGCGGATCCCGAGACTCGAGAGCGGTTGAGAGTGGAAGCATTCTTGTGCGGCGTTCCTCAAGTCGGGGGCCTTGGGATGTTTGGCAACATGGATGAGAGCCTCGCGAGGGCGCTAGCGGAGCTGCCTTCTTCGCTGTGATGTGTGCAGAGCGGAATCGCTCGCAGAAGCAGCAAGAATGCGAGGTTCAGCGACACGAAAGAGACAGAATTTAGAACGAATGCAGACCAGCAAAGAGAGGAGAGGGGAGGGAACGCAGCGATGTAGTGGTTTTGGAGGAAGGCTCAACTGGTCAGAATAGTTGTCCTTATCCTAAAGCCACGCGACGTTGACTGTGTGTGATAGCACCTCGAGGCTCGGTAGTAATGATGAATTTCCAAGTCCCCAAGCACCCCAATCAATCTAGCCCCAACGCTCCCTGCCATTTACGCGTACTGTGGAGCAGCGCAGTGCCTGCAGATTTTCCTTCGAACTACAACTACTGCATGATGTTACCATAACCTTTCAATATGGCTGCCGCCCCTATCACATACTGCAGTGAGCGACGTGGATATCCACAACAACCCGTAAATAACACTTCGAACTTCGTATTACATTTCACACTTTCACCGCTGCTAGATGCTATTATTGATGCCCCTGAATTATGACATACGGCTGGTCGAACACTGCTCTATCCCTATATACAGAGGAGCTAACAAAAACCTAAGGAACCCTGCCGTGCCAGGTTAAAACAACAAGTCCGGCTGATGCACCCCGCAAACTTCCACGGACCCCAAACATTGAAGGAGAAAACTACGTGTATCACGAAACACTTTCACAGGGGTCCAATATTGCACATTGCCGAATTCATAAGCCGAACGCCGTTCGACTACGCCCCCCTCAGGGCGCGAAACCTCGACATGAGGCTGTTCCGTGTCGGAGCTTTGAGCGAAGGAAGCTCCAAGCCCACAGTTCCTTCGACTCTTGCCGACGTTGTTTAGGGAGAATTTGGCCACCTCCCGTACACTGTAGGGCGACTGGATGAAATGCAACAACCATTTTTAGAGGGGTGTTGTCCGGGCGCACCTCAAGCGAGAAGATGGCAAGCTTTCGAGCTCCCCACATCTGAAGGGTTCTCCAACGACATGTCTTGTCGAATAAGCACTCCATAGTGGCGCCGCATGCCCCTTGAGGTGGGGGGTGAGGAAGGTCAAACGATGGACACTCTTCTCCTGGTTGGTGCCTCCCGCAGTCAATCGTCCCGCCACAACCAGTTCTCCGAATTTCCATTGCGCCGTTGCCCACGAAGGAAAAGACGCCTCTAGAAGACGATGCCCAACCTCTCGCAGTGACGAAAATTCCCGTCAGGCGGGATGGGGGCATGTTCTCACCCCTTTCCCTTGCCCGAGCGACGGGCCAGATAAGCGCACTTCCAGTTTCCTATTCGAGCGTTGCTCCGACGATGAGAACCGGCGCCTGTGCGGCGATCGCCGTGGCCGCTAGGTATATGTAGCTCGCCGATGGGGTGTGCCGGTCGCGGTGGCCAACGACCTCCGACATAAAGGTAGACATGGTGGTAAGGCTGCCAAGGAATCCCGCCTGTATTGCAAGTTGAAGACTCGCCAGCGTGAGAACTAAATTGATGTATTGTGGGGAAAGTGAACGAGTCAATGGTCTTGTTTAAAAATCGTTCTATAGGTCTAAATGTGCAATAGAAGCAAAACCTGTTCTGGCGGAACGTCATGCATACCACAACTCGTGCTAAAGCTAATGTTGCACGCCGAATAATTTATTGCGCCGTTTGCAGATGTCTTGCAACGGCGGCTACACACAAATCATCCCCCTCCAACAAGTATGCAGCAATCAAGCAGTGGCATTGCGACACACAAACATCATAGTGCCGGGCATCTTTCAGCGAGCGCGTGTGTCGCATAATTTCAGCCTGCAGCCGTGCACCACATTCCACCTACCACAGAGATCACACGCCAAAGTACCACACATCAAGCACGACCAGTCCGCCAACGCACGTACCTGGAACGCCTTGATGGCGACATTGCTCCAACCGCTTGTGAGCGATGAGGAATTCTTCGTGCCGTAGAACGAGAGAGCCATCACCAAGGAGCCCAACACATTGGCGGCGAAGGTACCCAAGGGGAACGCTCCGCCTCGTAATCGGCTGTTTAGCTGCCTGCGTGTCAGGGCGTGTCCTAGTTGTGTTTCAATAGAGTAGCACCGCATCTTGGTTTGGGTAATACATTTTCTTGTGTGGTTCGGACGGCGGTCTTCACAATTTGGGCTGGGTTGGACTTCCGGCGCTTGTGGTAGGGAGGGAGGCCTACCGGCAAGGGTATTGGGTCGCGAGCGAGCCCAGAAGTGCGGCCTGGAGAAACGTGTGCAACATCGTACTAATCGGCTGTTTTCCTTGTGTCATCGAGGCAGAAATGAAACAGATTCTCCGGTGGGAAGGGTGCAGGGAAGATGAGTTGGCAAAGGAGCCCAGTTTCGTGATGCAGAGTGAACCCAAAACCACGAAGGGTGCCAAAACCACGAAGGGTGCCAAAACCACGAAGGTTGCTGATGTGCTTTCAGGAGCACGCTGCAATTGATACCCCCCGGTGGTGTGAATACGTCACAATTCCTATCGACCGCGCAATTCAGGTGAACGATGACTGAGCGATGACAAGATATCCGTCTAAGTTGGCAGAGAACGACAAAAAAAGCGCAGTTGTGTTTGTTTAAAGGACATCGCCTGGCGTGCAACGAAAAGCCGGGTTTGCCCAAGCTTAACCTCTTGCTTTTTTACTGAACTTTAAAACTGCGTTGAGATCCGTAGAGAGGGGGGAACAGCGAGAGAGAGAGAGAGAGAAAGCAAGAGAGACGTGACACATGAAACCAAGAGCTTCGACAACCGCACGTTGGGCGGGACGCATTGTGTACCTAATGGCTATGCCCGCTGCGGCGGCATACCGCACGCCCCCACCTGGACAGGAAAAACCTGGAGAGCGCGCCGAAGGGAGCGAAAATACACGCCAGCCAGTCGATCCGCCTCGACCAGTTGCCATCCACCCCCAGTAGTACGACTAAGAGAACATACGCGGCGCCGAGCATCCCGAGCGTGTTGCGCATCGCATCGCTGTCACCCCCGGCAAGAGCACCTCCGCCCAGCATGCCTCGGATGTTCAGCCTCCGGCCGTGGCTCGCGACCTGCTTCATCACGTCACAACCAGCCGAGAAGCACGCCGCGAAGAACGCTAGAGAGGTTGCCATGGCAACGATGGTGACGATAGCGCCCGAGGGTGCACCCGGCACTTGTCCCAATGCTGCTCGCGCGATCCTCAGATTCCAGCCGGAGTATGTTGTATAGCTCCCACAAAAGCCCTGTGCAGAGAAAACGAACGGCACACGCGAGTTAATATTGTGTTTAAGTGAACTTCCATCGATATACGGACGGTCAAGACGTTCCCATGCTCATGCGGTAATGGGAGACAACCTTACTCGCCCGTAGCTGCCTTCGCGCTTCCAAGAAATACTGCAAGTACATGCGCTTCCACCCCACGCAGGAACACACATTGCGCAGCGCAGCGCTGCCTGCGCGAGCGCTTTTACGTTTTTAACCACATTATTGAAAGACAAGCAACATCCCGAACATACTTAGCAAGGCGTCCGCGTACCACGGTCAGGCCTGCATACATGGCGTCGGGGATGGTTTCTCTGTCGGGGGAGGAAGCCAGGGCGCCGAGAGCGAAACTGCCGATCGAGTTCGCAAGGAAGGAGCCCTGGAGGGCGACGTTGGAGGCCGGGCCGATGTCGTCCGTGTAGAGCCGCGCAAGCGTTCCGAAGCAGGCGCAGAAGGAGATGTAGGCACACTTGGCGATCATGGGTCGTCCAGGCAGCAGAGTCATCTCAGTCTTGTTACAGGGGTTACTGTTCGCTGTTGCTGTTGCAGTCGGCGGTTTATGATAATGAGCGGTCTGAAACACACGGTGGATGAACAGCAAGGAGGAACCGCAACGCTGGCAGCGGCGACTTGTATTTCGCGTGGCAGCAGGGCTAGTGGCAGCCGCTACTGCTCTTCTTCGCATTCTGGGGCGCGAACACGGAAGAGTGGGAACGGCGAACACAAGTCGGTGCGACTAGCTAAGGGATGCGAGCGGAGAGCAAGGCGAGACAGGACTGTTGGAACAACACCCCGCGGAAGCGAAAAGGCATGTCTGTGTTAGCTCCCAAATCCAATGGCGTGCCCCCCGATTTTTGACACATCTCAAAAGTTCGAAAGCACTGCTGTGCGTGGTGCCCTGGTGCGTCTCCTCGCTGCTCTGCTGTAGGCTGTCTTTCCTCGCCGTCTCCTCGTCAACAAGATGCTGACAAGATTGACGCCAACACTAGCATCATGGAGGTGGCCGGGAAGGACTCATGTCTTGCGAGCCAATCCCGTGCGGGGACTGCGTGTCGTGGCAGCTGTCAACGCTACGACACAGACGGAGGTACAATGCTACGCAAGTTCTTGAAATCTGGCGGAATGTTGTACTTGCTGAGTCTTCGCATCCACGCGTATGCTGAGGGTTGGATCTCCTGTTCCCGTATCTGCTGGTCAGAGTGGAATTAGCGGATTTTCGATGCCCAAATCATGATAACGTGTGACGGAGCAGAGGAAATCAAAGATAATCTCGGGGTTTGGCACTTTTCGGCGTATCTCAAGGCCTTGTTTGCAGGTCAAGCAAAGAGTCAGCGAGTCAGCCGAACGACATGTACCCACAACCTGTTGGCACCGAGACAACATGTTATGCATAGGCGACTCCCATGCCAGTGCTCGTCCCAGCGCGGTGCGTGCGAGATCTATTCTTTTGCAGGAGCCAGAGACGAGAACTCTTGCAACTGCTTTCATTAGTATTATTGCGCTGTGTAGTTTCGGTCTGTTCATGACCCTTTCCATCTGCGGGCTTTTTTTACGCCCTCTAATTGGTCGAGCGTCGAGGGTTCGTTCGGGCAGTCGATTCCTCTGCAGCACCCTCTCCCCATTCCGCATTCCGACAAAGCGGCGCCTCACAGCGGCCTCACTGCTGTACTCTGGTCCTCTGATCAAGGCGGAAAGTTGCCAAGGCGCCGTTGTGTACGAAGAGTCCCGAACTCCCCACCTGGATGATCTCCGTTCGGATGAAATCCAGCAGCAGCTGTTGTTCGTTGAGTAGTCTATGCGGCGTACATACGCATTCATAGACCGGTTCTGGCCCAGAAAAGGTTGGCTGGTTGTGCATGATGCTTACGGCTACAATAGTAGCCTTTTCGTTTTCGCAGCAAATTGCCCGTTTTTTCGCTTCACCCAGATCGGGACCCCCCCATGCGTACGTCGGCCAAAGTCGAAACACGTCCACATCCGCACCCAGGATATTTTTGTCGAATGAGTGCTACTCTTCAGCAGAAATACGGTGGAGCTCTTGTATGTATAGCGCAGTTGTTGTACGCTGTAGACTGTCCAGCAGCCCTAATGCTGAACCCATGTCATGATCTCGGATAGGTTGGCGTTTGGTATTGATACGTATGTTGCTTGTGGTTTGCGTCCATCGCGCACTTCTGGGGGCCTGCTCGTCGGCTTGAACTATGATGCTGTAGCCCCAACACGCCACGCGCCCTCCTGTATCCCCCTGTTCCCACGAGACGGCACGCTTGACAATACACAGGTGTGCAAGATCTGTAATGACGACGCCATTAGATCACTCCTCCCGTCCCCTTCCGTTGTACAACGGGACATGTCTCCTCCCGGCTGGTGGTGGCAACCCCCCCAACATCTGACCCCGCCCCCCGTTCCCGACTCGAAGTTTACACAACACCGACATCGCCCTCATGTCTCCAACTGAGAGGCTCGCTGCTAAATAGGGCTATCGACTGCTCCCCCTATTGTCCGTGACGAAAGTGGTGCACATTGCACATTGTGCCCGAGGTCAACGACACCGCCGTGTTGACTTCTGATGCTGCATGTTTGCGCCACCGTGTCGCGTTAAACGCCCGCAGAATGCCGTCGATGATTGCTTGGAGCGAGTCCTGGGCCCCGATGCCGAGCCGGCGAGTGCGTTCGCCGTGATTTTTTTCGAGGGGCACGATCACGCCGGGGTGCAAGGCGCGCTGAACTCCTTCGCTGAACGGTAGGAGGCGTGTGTAGATGGGTTGGGAGATACTACAATCGGTGTAGAGGCGAACCATTCTTGCTCCGACGTCGCGACGGGCTCTGGCGCGGTTGTGTGCGCGATGTCCTACTCTCATCTCAGGGAGAAGTCCCGGCGTCAAATGCTGGCTGGGTGGGCGCTCTTACTCTGCCCCGGATGAGAAGGATCGGCGGCGACGATTTCTCAGCGCGGCGGGGGGGGGGGGGGGGGGG